CTCGACTAAGAATTAATTTTATAATTAGCTCAAAAAATTAAAATTTATGAAAATATCTAAAAGTCGAGTAGCCTAAAAAAAATAATTAAGATTAGTGTAAAAAGGAAATATATTTACCATATCCAACTATCAATGGGAGAACCAGAGAACAATTTGGGAAACGTCTGTGGGTTTTAGAAGAATGAGAGATGGGCCAAGAAAGCTTTGAGAATCATTAAGACCATCTTTTCCAACAGGGAATTTTTCAGAGAATAATATTTGGAAACAGCAAACTCGTTAGTGGGTATATTACGAGGGAAATTTCAGTGGTAAAAAATCCAGTGGTCCCTGAAAATATAAATAAAAGAAAGGAATAAAGTGAAACTTTTCACATTCCCAAAAGGGACGACTGAATTTTTGTTCCGGAAAAGTTCACTGATGTTCTTGGTTTACTTCAGAATCACTTATGCTCCTGTAATTTTTTTCTTATCACATATGCCTCTGTGGTTTGTAAAAGGGTATGTTTTTTATCATATATACCCCCTGTGATTTCTTATTTTTTACAAAGCACAGAGACATATGTGATAGGAAAAAAATCACAGGGCATAAATGATTCTGAAGCAAATCACGAGAGCATCGGTGACCTTTTCCATTTTTGTTTTTGTGATGAAATTCCTATCGTATATTAACACACTCTTATTCCCTCTCTTTCTTTAGCTCTTTGGATTTATAGCACTCATCAAGGCGCTATGGATGTACATGAAAAGCTTATGCATTATAGATACCATATTTCCATAGCAATAGCACTTTCAATATCCTTTTCCTTGCTGTTATATGTAGCCCCACGAATTCTGACCACTCTGGCGTATTTTTGGCCTTTGTTTGCTTCCACAACTGTGTTCTTGGTTGCAATAATAGCCTTTGGAGGCGTTTCCAAATTCTCAACTGAAGCTCATGGTGAAAAAAGAAGGTGAAAGGCTCTTCGATAGTGCCTGTTTGGATCCTCTTTTTTTTAAGCTACAAGCTACTTATAAGCATAAGCTAGGCCAAACAGGTTTTGGGAAAAGTTCTTATAACGAAAAGCTCTTTTTTTTATAACGAAGAAAAAAGCTGAAAATTAAAAGCTCCTAGGAGGAGCTTTTTTTAAGCTCTTATCTGTTTTTCTTGAATTGTGTGCTTTTTTTTAAAATAAAGAGTGATAAAGATAGAAAGAGATAATTTTCTTGAAATATGTGCTTTTAAGTAATTTTTAAGCTAAAACTTTTATGTAATTTCCAAACAGCTTTTAGCTTTTTTTTTTAGTTCTTTTTTTTAGCTTTAGCTTATAAGTAACTTCTAACTTAAAAATAAGAAGATCCAAACAGGCTTATAAGTAGCTTCTAGCTTACTGTGGAGGAGGAGGCTCAAAACTTCTATAAAGTGAAACCCTTTCATGCCTATAATATAACAATGACCAATGATATCTTGTTCTCTGTATCTATTTCATCCTCAAATGACATAATTTTATCAATCCTAATTACGAGGGACGATGATGCGTTTGAGTGTTATGATTTATAAGAATTCAACCAGCAAAAATGTGCTGGAAGATCAATAATTAAGACCCAGTTGGGCTTGGGCATTTACAAAACGTGACTTTTTTTGTTGTTGCCGTTCTGGGTTTTCCCCGCTTGGAAAGGAGTTGGGTAAATGAAAAAAAAAAAAAATTCGGTTCAATTTAAAATCTCGTTTGAACCCGTAAATTTTGGGAGCTCAGTTGCCAACTGAGCTATCATATGTTATACATTATTTGGATATTTAACGATTGAACGGAGATAATTTTCTAGTTCATTTACGAGCTAAAGATGTGATAAAGAAATTACTAAGTAGTTTCTAAGTATCTTATGCATTGTAAGGATTTTTTAAATTCAAATTAAATTTTAAAAAATAGATATCAATTATAAGGATATTGAAAATTATAAATAAGTATGCATAAACAATTCAAGAATAAAATCTAAAAATTATATAATAAATTATAAATTATAAAAAATTATGTATAAATAATTAAAAAAGTTTTGAGTTTAAACTATTTTTTTTAAAGAATGATAAAAGGGGATAAAGTACAGACATCTCCCGTATGAAAAATTGTATAAACTAATACAAAAAAAATAAAATTGTATAAACTATTCATTTTATCCCAAATAACTTAGCGTCATATCCTCCTTCCCTATTTGATTTCATTGTTTAAAAAAGAAGATCAAGTAGGACAAATAAACTTTTGCTCATATTCTCGAAAAACTCAGTATATTTCTGAGAATTATGATTTTCAGAAATAAAAAAAAAAATTCTTCTACTAAATATCTCATAAGAGTAGTACATATATAGTTAAAGTATTAAAATTGATCAATATATTATCTTTAATACATAGTTAAAAAACAATTATAGGAATTCTTGTAATATGAGAAAAAATTTTGCCAAAAAAAAATTACATGAAAAGTTAATGATATAAAAATTTCGAGAGTAAATATTTATAGAATAAACTACATGAGAGGTATCTACCAAAAAAAAAAAAAAAAACTACATGAGAGGTATTTTAATGTTGGGAAAAAAAGAAGTTAAAAATGATACGTTTCATTCTTTCCAAAAGAGTACACGAGATTTTACCACTCGAGAAAATTTGACGTTAACTTAATATACAGAGGTGAATAAATTGATTGCTTTTATAACCAAAAACCAAGAAGAAGAAAAATAGACATATCAAATATAATGAAGATAAAATAAATCTCATCGAGTTTTATTCCATTCCATAATATCCAATCACTGGTAATTAATACTATTCTGTTCGTTGCACTTCATTTCATTTGTCTTGAACTCGAATATATTATTCGGACCCACATGCACGTAACTCGTGAATGATGAACGAACTTGGGATGACTAGTTGTGTTCTTACCTTTTTACAATTATAATGCCGTATACTAGAACTATTGAAAATTAACTTAACACTCTTATATTTGTCCTATGTTGCCGACAGAATTATTTTTAGATATGATTCTATTTCTTTTTCCAAATCACAGGGCTCCTCATCCGGTCAGGGTCCTTGACCCTTCTAGAATTATCGTGTGGAGGCTAAGTTAAGGCAAGCAAGTGACACTTTTACATTATTCATTCAATTTGAATCCTCAGCACTCAGCAGGGGGAAACCCTGTTCATAATATTCAGTCATAAAATACTTAATTAGAAAGGTTGATAAGGGATGTTGTTTACTTCTTAGCCACACACGTGTAGAACCTTCATTGAGCTGTCGGTATCTGTACTATTCAATACACTAGTTGACAAAAAGGCCAATGCAACGTTCCCATGAATCATGATAGATTGTTAAGTCTTCTAATTGTCAAATATTATCAACCTTCAAGTTTAGTATTCCTATATTTGATATTTTTGGCAGCAACAGCTAAGCTTTGGGATGCGCAAGAATACAATCACGTGGAAAGTTTTGGAATAAGGGTTTGATTTTTTCATTTTATATGATAATTTAATTCTCATATTATAACTCAACTAGTGGTGGCTTCTATATTTATTAAAAAAAAAAAGATTTACACATAAATCGAAAAATCACAACATAAAAATTGAATTATCATATAACATGAAAAAATATTTTCCCTTGGAATAATTCTACAATGGATTTATTAAAAGAGGGATTATATATTTAAAGCTGAAGCCATAATCTTATGAAAAATCTGCATAAGAATTGGGCCTTTTTTTTTTTTTTTGTTCCTACCCATCTCGTGGTATTGATATCTTTTTGCAGTTAACCATATCACCCTATAGTAATCAGAGTCCTTATCTAGGAGATTATTTTTTGTGAAAGGAGATCACCATTTTTTAAGTGGTCTCTTAGTGTAAATAGGAAGGTAAAATTGAAAAAGAAAAAAAATAACAGAGATAAAAAGGAAAAGAAAAAATTAATGATATAAGAGTAAGCACCAAAAAATTCAAGGATCCTGAACTATATTAAATATTTCCCCTGTGCAGGCAGCGTCCATAATAAAAGTTTATTTCACTCGTGTTTGTCAACATACGTCCATTTTGCACAGAAATTTGAGAAATCAAATTACTACAAAAGCAGAATTTTTTTATATCTGCCTAAATACTAATTCAAATGCAGATGAAATGCGTTATTAGTATAACTAAACTTTAATTGTCCAGCTTTATAGATACCTAATAACTTAGACACTATTGAACTTGAGCCATACATTTTGTTAAAAACACTTCCCATTAAACCAAGTCTGACAATAACTTTGTTGGCCAAAAAGGAATAAATGACAGCAATATGTCTATTTTTAGCGAAATATGTCGTCGAGTTCAAAAATATATACAAATGCCTTATTTAATTTTAACCCTGCATTAACTTTTTTAAACAACTACTGTTCACTCAGAATACTTGAACCTTTGCACGTTTTCATAACTCTGTACTGTCAGTAGTAATTTTAGTATAATTTACTCACACTAAAAGATTCGTGTGTAAAATTTATAAATTCTTGTCCTCTCTAGAATTCTCCATATACATATGAACGATCGAGATTAATGTTTGCTTTGTTCACTTTGACTCTTCATCTGTTCGCGAATAATTGGAATATATACAGTACTTTACTTTCTTTCCCATATTCTCTCCCTTGGTAAAGATATTGAACAACATTGATCTACAATTAATGTATTCAATGTACTTAATTTCACCGTTAATGCTCATTCAAAGTGGTGACTAAACTAAACAATACTAGTTAAAGGGCAACTAAGCTAGAAAGGCAAGAAAAGAAGGCCATATATAGAAGAAGCACCAGGTTATAAATTAAACTAAGAAACATGCATTACTGGCTAGTAACTACACTAGCTTAAAATAATATATGACACAGTTTAACAGACTGCAAAGGAAAAGAGCTAGGGGGAGGATTACATAGGATCATAACATTATGCCTTGTCATTTTTAAAAATAAGACTCAAGCTCTCCTATTTAATTCTTCGTCTTTTATATCATATCAGATGCATATTCATGCATGTAATATACTGCAATTTCTTTGGGCTTTAATCCTGATCTCCTCCTTCATTTTCCTTATGAATTCTTCACACTTTCTGTTCAGTTCATCTATATTTGTTTCCATTGTTGTATCTTCTATTTCATCATCTTGTGTTACCATAATTCCACTTCCTGTCCCTCTTTCTTCATCTTCTTCATCCTTATCCTCCACCTGTTTTTCTTCTGCAATAGAAGCTTCATTCTCTCTTCCTTCGGTATCCATAAACAATGTGTCATGCTCTTCTCCTTCAGCTTCTGATACTTCTTCATAATATTCTTCTTGCTTTTTCACTTGTTCAAGCTCTTCTCCAACCATAAAAGGAGCATTCTCTAGGAACAAAAAACTTCCCTGAGGGAAGACTGGCTTTTCAGAAACGGATTCCTTTATCTCGAAAGGATTGGAAGCTTGAAACTCAATGTCAAAAGGTGACGTGGATGGTGAAGAGGTCAAGAGTGTGCTCTTAGCTAGAAAAGCAAGGATGCTATTACAGATGAGAAACATGTATCTCCTTTCAAGAGTATGAATAAAAATGGAGAAAGGGCACGTGGAGAAGTAGGCATTGAAGGACTGAGGGAGTATGAAAAAGCTAGAAGAGTACCATACAAAGAAAGCAAATATAGAAACTGAGAAAGCAAACTGCAGAGTTCTTCTCAAAAACTGGTACTTGTTGAAGTTCTTCCAAATCTGATGCTGGTTTATTTTATACATCTCCGGTGGAGCTAGCTTGCGTCCTTATGGAATGTAAGGTTATTAACAGAAAGGAATAATGCTATGAGTTATCCTTGTATATTGCTTGTGTTCTCTTGTGTTGTGTTGGGTGAACCACTGAACTATATCATCCTATTTATAGTAAAGCCTGAAATTGAATCGTCTATAAGCTGCTAGCTAAATGGTATAATTTTTATTATCATGTAGGGACTAGGGAAGGTACGTATGATATATGAACAAGTGTAACTTTCCAAGAAGAGCATTATTGGTAGCAACCAGACCAAATTGAAAATGGGTCAATTTCTCTTCCCTGCGAGAGAAGGAATCCAACTAACGGGAGGATATACTATCAATCTATCATTTAGAATGGAAGTTGTGTGAAATTTCTAGTAGTCACCATTCATATTCTCCACCACATAAACAATGCATCCTCTTTGACACGATAAGTAAGAAATTATTAGGTGTTTCTTTTTTTTTTTCTTTTTTTGAAAATAAATCTTGAGCAAATTAAATATAGTTTACTAAAAGTATAAAGTTTGACACGATAAGTAAGAAATTATTAGGTGTTTTTTTTTTTTAAATAAATCTTGAGCAAATTAAATATAGTTTACTAAAAGTATAAAGTTCAGATTATGCATAATTTATAGGAAAAAAAATTTGTCCCTTTAAAGAACACAATTTGTGTCCTTTTAATTTATATAGTTATAATATGAAAAAAAAATTATATTATAACTATGTACTACCCGTAGAGTACATAGTGTTACAAACTAAAATGACACAATTTATATCCTTTAGAAGAACACACACTTAATCTTAATTTATAACCATAAAAAATTTAAATCTGCAAATCGAATTAAAGTTTACTTAATCTACCCCGGCCCAATTATTATTATTATTATTATTTTTTGAATAACACCCCAATTACTTTATCTTTGCTCTTCCTAATAAAAATTTCAACTTGATAACAATGGTATAAATTCAAACTAGTTAATACATCCTTTGTTTGTGTTTCTTCTCTCTCTTTCTCTTTCTTTGGTGAAACTATGTTTGTGTTAATATATATTTTTTTTTCAGGTCATCTCGCGTGTACCTCAAATAATGTAATTGTTATAATTGAAATTCAAACATGTGACCTTGGGTTTATATATTTACACCTTTCAGACAAGTTTGTACGGCGGGGAAGCCCCTGGCATCAACAAGATCTAGCTAGCCACAAACACAGCTTTCTGCTGAAACAGAATTGCCCCATATCGGCAACAAGGATCACCATCAACCCAAAGAAAACGGGGGGAATCTGTCAATGCAGTGCAACTGTGCTAGGTTTGTGGAAATAGAACTTCTTATGATGCAAAGGTAGAAGAGGAATTACAAGCGCACACGCAAGAAGGCACATTTCAAAATTAAAGGTTTTCATAAACTAATTATATGAAGGGATTACGAAATGTTACGCAACACGAATGAATTCCATTTTCATGGGTCCCATTGTTTTTAAAAAAAAATCAAAAATCAAAATATTTGAGACACAATTTTCGATCTCTCTATAACATGATGTAATGAGTTTCATGTAACATAACAATTACAAATCCCTTATATGAAATATTTATATTATTATGTGAAAGCACATAAATAATTTTATATCTAATTAAAGATAATGCAACGCTTTAAAATTTTTACTCTAAGTAAAAAGGATGACTTAGTATGTGTTTGATATAATAACTCATTTTTTTTCTATAATAATTTTATTACAAAAAATCATGTATGAGATTAGTGTTTATTCTTTTAAAAAACATGAAATTGTGTCATTTTATTTAAAACCACTGTATTTTATAACGAGAGAAACAAAAATCATAGTGAGAGACTTATATAAAAAAAAAAAAAAAAAATCAGTGAGAGAAAGTGTGAGATTTTTTTTATCCTAAATATTAAATAAAAAATAGTAGTTTCAACTAAAATGATTATCCTTTAAAAGGATAAACATTTTCCCCATCACATATATATATATATATATATATATATATATATATATATATTAATTCAGTTAACATGTAATTTAAAATAAGAAATTCTCTTAATTGATAAATAAAATAAATTTACATACAATTTATATTTCTAAAATATTAAATGCGCTATTTTTTAATACTTTCTTTATTAACTATTAAAAGGATTAAAAAAATATTTAAAAGGATGTACTATTACTCACATGGATAACAAACTTACCAAGGACCTTCCTTTTATTTCATTCTTCATTACCTTAAAAAACACATGCCTTTTTTTTTTTTCTCTTAGAATATTCAAGTGTGTCAATATAGTTTCACATTGATTGGTAATGAGTTAAGAGAAGACACATATAAGTGGATGATCAAGGAGCCTACTGCATTAAGATTTTAGATTGAGATACAGTGTCAAGATTGCTTGCTATGATTAGTGTACTTAGTCCATTGGTGATGGTCCCCTACCGTAAGCTCCACTTACCCGCTTGACAATGGTATCAGAGTCAGGTTGGATTCGGGCTAGCCAGGTATTTTGGTTAAAGACGAGTTGAATACTTGGACTTGGAGTATGAGGGTAAGCATACTAATGTGAGTTTCAAACTTGAGGGGGGGATATTATTAGAATATTCAAGGGTGATAGAGTTTCACATTGGTTGGGAATGAGGTAAGAGAAGATCATATAAGTGGATGAACCCATGAACCTAATGCCGTAAGATTGATTTTGGGTTGAGAGATGATGTTTGATCCACTTACTACGATTGAGCTAGCTTAGCCTATATATTATTAATGGTCCCCCATCATTTGCTCCCCTCCTAACATATTTAAAGATAAAGTAATGACAATATTATGCAAGCGATTCCTTATTGTGTGGAAATCCTATAGTATAAATGAATCATTATGAAGGGTTAAGTGATAATCATCGCAACAAAGTAATCAAACATTTATTTCTAAGCATTCGTCAATTTGTGTCTTTTACCCTTAAGGTTTATCATACAAAAGAACAATTATATTGCGGAAGTTTCTTTAATTTTCAAAAGCCCCTTGATAACTGTGATTATTAATGGCAGAAAGCTTCTTTTAGTCTTAATCATTTTCTTTCTTGTATGCTCTTTGATAGGGATGATCAGATACAATTCTTATGGACTGACCACGAAGATTTTACGCTTTTTTAGCCTACCAAAAAATTGACCTTATCTCTTTATGATAATTGCACTTATCAACAGTTATTTATTTTCTTAACTTCTTTATCCTTTAGCCAAATTATCTTTATATCATTTACTCATTAAACAGGAAACATATGTAAGTCTTCCATCCTTCTCAATCCAAAATTTTAAGAAATTAAATTTAGAGGTTGTTTGTGGTCTTTACTTATCTCATTAATACCGATGCTGACACTCACCACACTCTTCTAGTTACTTGATGGAAAATTCAGATACAGCAAGCTATTCACCAAGGCAAATTGATTGATTTTACAAATAATTAGTACTAAAGCAATGTGTGTGATTTGGGGTGTAAACGGGCTAGGCCGGCCTACAGGGGCCTACGGCCTAGCCTATGTTAGGTCAGATTTGACCTTTTACAAATAGTAAAATAGAACATGCCTAGACTTATAAAAAAACCTATATAGAAAAGTGGCCATAGACTTTTTTGTACATGTCGGGCCTATAAGCTTACAGACTGACCTATATCATATTATTTATTTTTAATAAAATAAATAAAATTATTATTTTAATAATTTTGAATAATAAAATAATATTATTTTAGTTATTTTTTTAATTGTTGAATGTTTAATAGGCTTAAACAGGTTAACAGTCCTAGGCCAATGCATTTATTTTTAGAATATAAATCAGGCCAAACTTTTAATTTTGGGCCTACAAAGACAAACAGGCCAGGCCAAATCCAAAATTTTTCACACAAGCCTCGCCCATTTAAGCCAAAACTTAGCCTATTTACACCCCTATCTGTGACCATCAATCTAGTGCAAACATATGCAGTGTGGTTATTTGAAGAGGTGGACTAACTTATTATTATTTTTCTTCAACTGAACTGAATGGATTTATTCTGGTTCAATTTAAAGAATTAAATTATTTTATTTAAGATAAATCAATTTTATTTTTCTCTAATCAGTTTATGTTTCAAAATTAATTTATAATTTTCAATCGGTTTAAAATTGATTCGAATATATTAATTTTGAACTGATTTCGAATTGATTCTGAATGATTTTTTATTCAGTTCTTTAAATCAATTCTTTTGATTCAATTTAATTTTTAAATTGATAACTAAAATTAATTCAATTCTCAAACTAGTTAAAAAAATAGAGTTTCGATCAATTATTTTGCAATATCTTTTTTTTGCAATTTTTTATTTTATTTCTTTATATAACAATTAATATTTTAAACTTAATCTATTGTAACCGAGTGTAGCTAATCTTGAGCAATGTGGCAAACTTTTGGTACATCCATTATACCTACATCTTTGCTAAATGAGGAAAGTTTTTGGTACTTGGAAGGAAAAATAAAGAAAAGCAAGGGGTTTAAACGGAAACAAAATTCTTATTTGAAAAAAAAAAGTCATCACTTGGACACATCCGCAACATTCAAGAAATTTTCTTGTGGAGAAAACCTTTGGTACATCTGTTGTACTTACATCTTTGCTAAATGAGAATTTTTTTGGAATTTGGATGGAAAAATAAAGAAAAGCAAGGGTTTAGAAGGAAAAAGAAATTCTTCATTTGGAAAAAAGATGTACCTACATGTGTAAATCCGCTGCATTCAAGAAATTTCCCTGTAACGAAAACCTTTGGTACATCTATTATACCTGCATCTATGCTAAATATGAAAAGTTTTTGGGACTTGGAAGAAAAATAAATAAAAGCAAGGGTTTAAATGAAAAAAAGTTTCCTTCGTTTGGAAAAAAGATGTACCCACTTGGCTACATCCGTTGCATTCAAAAAATTTCCCTGTGAAGAAAACCTTTGGTACATCCGTTGATCCTACATCTTTGTTAACA